GCCCCTCCGCGGGCGCCTCCCGCGCGCCTTCGCCAGGTCGCCCCCGCGCACCACGCTGACCCCCGGCCTCCCCGGTCCCTGTTAACCCACGTGGCAGCGGCTTGCTCCGTGCCTTGGGAAGAGGCGGGACCGTGGTGCCCAGGATCCCGGGCTCAGCCTTTGGATCTCCAGCCGTGCGCCCCTTCCGGCAGCCCGAGGCGACCCGGGGCGATGGGGGCGCTGCTGGCGCTCTGCCTCCTCTTGGGCTGGCAGCGCTGGGACCTCGCGGGCGCACAGCAGCCCGGGGAATACTGCCACGGCTGGGTGGACGTGCAGGGCAACTACCACGAGGGGTTCCAGTGCCCGGAAGACTTCGACACGCTGGATGCCACCATCTGCTGCGGCTCCTGTGCGCTCCGTTACTGCTGCGCTGCCGCCGACGCCAGGCTGGAGCAGGGCGGCTGCACCAACGATCGTGGCGAACTGGAGCACCCCGGAATCACGGCGCGTAAGTGCGGGACCCCAGGGGGGCAGGCCCTCGTCCCCGCGCGTGCGTCTATGCGCAGAGAGGACGCAGCTGGGTAGCGGGGATCAGGGGAAGAGTGGGTGGTCGATCGCATTGCAGGCAAGGGGAACCCCCTCATTCCTTTGCGTTCTGGCTCCCCACGCGTCACACGCGGTCTCCCCTAGGCAGCCCCAGAAGAGGTTTGCCGGGCTTGCTCCTGCCTGTTGGCTCTGGGGCGGACAGCTGGAGCGCCCGAGAACAGACCCATGGGGCAGCTCTACTCACAATCTTGGGTTCTCAAGGGGAGCTGCCATTGCACCCCATGGCGCTTCTCGGTCACTTCGGAAGTCCGGGGAAGTGCGGATGGCGGCGGGAGAGAGGGTGTACCTTTACCAAGAGCTCATCTCTGGCGAAGGTGGGTTTCGGGGCTAAGGAACTTCAGCCACTCGTATCTACTTTTCCTTTTTGCTTTTCGTCTCTTGGGTGGCGGTCCCACTCTCCCCACTTCCTTTCATTTCTCCGCATCGAATTACCCTTCCCCCCCCAAAAAAACTGTCACGCTATTCAGAAGTACCCAGATCTTGGCGTGTGGGGGGGGCGGGGGGAGAAGGTGGTGATGGTAAGAAACCAGGGTCGCAGGGGCTTCCTCACGCCCTTTTCTCACATCGGAAAATGTGGGTCAAATTTCCGATCACTTAATAGCTGAATAAATCAGACCCCAGCAGAGGAAATTTACACCTTGGGAAAAAAAAGTTTTCCACCTGAATCCAAACACCAGGGAAACCTCTTAGCGCTGGAGGCGATGGTTTTATGGCCTGGAAATCGGAGATGCAGGAGAAGTTGGTGACTCCTGGGTACCCCAGAGCACAGCAAAGGCCTTTTGGAGGACTACGGAAGATTGGGGGGAAGACTGGAGAAAGTGAGGAGATCGCGAATGGTGCCCGAAACCCCGTTCCCCAAACTGATAACCCAGAGGGAAGGGTGGTCTGGTTCCCCCCCCCCCCCCCCGGCCGGGGGGCGGCTTTGTTCGCCCCCCCCCGCCGCCACCACGGCACCATTAAATTCTCTTGTATTTAATTTGGGGGAGGGGGTGTCAGTTTCTGATCTGGAGGAATTTGGGAGGTAGTTTCAGTGGAAAGCCGGGGACTCTAGGCCATCTTGGCCCATTAGATTCTTCTCTCTGCACCCTCCCTGCTTGTTTGCCTTGGGGGACCCAGTTCCTGTCTGTTGGGTATACCACCTACTCACCCCAGGATGCCAAAGGAAAGGGTCAGCCTGCTCACTCACTGGAGCCTGGGATCCACCAAACACTGCATGGACAGTAGCTTTGTCCCTGGCCAGGAGTGTAACTTCTGTTAAGGTACTTAACTGCTCAGAGTCTCCTCTCAATTTCAAACAGGCATACTGCTCTCATAGGAGTTATTGTGTTGCTTAGTTAAGTGGATGAAAGTTAGCACGGTGCTCAGAGTGCTGTTCTCGGTCACTTTTGCTGGTCTTTCCACGTCAGTGTTATTTGCACAAGAAAGTAGGTCACTGAACACCTTGCACCTAGGAGATTGAGAGTTACCTGTCTCATCATGGCAGCTTCTTTGGGAAAATAATAGCTAATAAAAACCAAAAACCAAAACCAAAAACCCAAACAGATTTCCACATTGGGAAAAGAGAATTGTCTATCTCACAGGGTCTCTGTGAGAATCAAATTGGATAAAGCAAAAATAAGTCAGGCACACAGTAAGGCTTTAATCATGTAGACTTTCTATCTACTACATCCAAGATGGAGGTTGTATTCCCATGTGGTTCTGGAGAGGGTGGAGGGGCAAACCTGCTTATGATAACTCTTGGGTGGCAGATTTTATGTCTGTCTTGGAGAGAGATAAGGGAAATGAAGTCTCTTCTGGCCGAGAGATGCTCTTAAGAAATGTCTGGGCCACCAACAGCAAGAATTGCATCATTATCAAAACTCCAGCTTGACTTTGCCAGACTTTGGATGGGAATTCAGAGACAGAGGTATGGCAGTTGGAGTAGCACCCCAAATCATTGCTGGAAAGAAGCAACCACAGCTGACAAGTCGCAATGCAGTAGGAGACACGCTAAATTAGGGCCCACTGTGGATTTCTTTATACTGTTCTTTCTAGAGCCTCATAAAATCCCGGGGGTCTCACTTAATAACGCAGTTCTCTCTGCTTAGATGGGAGATTCTAGGGCCGGAGATGGATTGTCAGCTTAAGAGATGGGTCAAAGTCCTAAGTGCCCTACCGTGATAAAACTACTAAAACGTGGATTTAAACCTCAAGTTATAGTGACCCTCGAAACTCACCCTGTTCCTCCAGCTCATGAACAGGAGGAAAGATTCTGTTCTTTTCTGACTTCCAGATGTGCAGTAAGATGGCTAATTGCTACCAGAGGCTACAGTATCAGTTTGCTTTTCTCCCTGGTTTGCACTTTGGAGATTAGCAGTAGTGAGCTTTGAAAAGTTGAGCTGACAAAAGTGGTAAAAAAGAGTCTTTTACCTCTCACCCCTCCCTCTGACCAAGCAGAGACTGGAAATTAGGAAACTCTGCTCCAAGCTTCTGTGATTGTCTGCTTTTGCCTTTTAGAGCCTGTCTACGTCCCCTTCCTGATCGTCGGCTCCATCTTCATTGCCTTCATCATCCTGGGCTCTTTAGTGGCTATTTATTGTTGCACCTGTTTGAGACCCAAGGAGCCTTCGCAGCAGCCCATCCGCTTCTCGCTCCGCAGCTATCAGACAGAAACTTTGCCCATGATCTTGACCTCCACAAGCCTCAGAGCACCGTCCAGACAGTCCAGCACAGCCACCAGCTCCAGCTCCACAGGCGGCTCCATCCGCAGATTCTCCTTTGCCAGGGCTGAGCCAGGCTGCCTGGTACCTTCCTCACCCCCACCGTATACCACGGGCCACCCAATACACCTGACCCAGCCGTCTGGTTTTCTGGTGTCACCCCAATATTTTGCTTACCCCCTCCAGCAGGAGCCCCCACTGCCTGGGAAAAGCTGTCCAGACTTCAGTTCCAGTTGACAGGCCATGGAAAGAAATCTGTGATGTAGTCCAATGGCAGACAGTTGCTGTGGCCACACTCATTTCTGAAGAAATTTCTCTGCAACAGAATGCTAGATGTCCTGTTCTGTTCTAAAGGTTCCTGACTCCAACATAGAAGGTCTGGCTTTGCAAACATGATGACCCTTACATTGCAATTTATGCTACTTTTATTCAAAATAAGCAGCAGTTTGACTTTCAGTTTGCAATTGGCTGACAGAATTGTGGGGACAATTCAGTTATACTGCCTAGAAAAGGCCTCTGAGTTCCTTTTCTTGTGTTTATTGAGTTATAATACAAGCATATTCATAAATATGGAGGGAAAATACCTAATAGTAATTGTAAAGGCTCACTTAAAAATTAACTATTAAATAAACTTTTGGGGACAGTGAGTCACCTATTTATAATTCTGAGAGTAACCTAACCTTGAATAATATTAGTATGATAAGAACATCTACTTTCCAAACTAATAACTGAATTTTGTTTAAGAGTTTCCTCTTTTCAGAATACAATGTTTCAGTAGCCACATGGGAAGTTTTAAGTTTTAAGACATTCAATGTAACACATTCTATATAAAAATCACTTCCCCCACACACCTGAGGGAATATTTATTGCAGACTTTTTGTCTTAAAACACTTGTTTGTAAAACGAGTAATGTATAAATGTAAAGACTTGTAATTTAATGTATTTACCACATTGACGGTACTAATTATTTAGTGGTTACACTGTAATTTTTATGTTAAGAACTGTGATGAGTAATGTCCAGCTATTGGTAGAACCATTTGTAAGATTATGAATGGCAGGTACCACTGAATTCCATGTCTGATGGCCATGTATTTGCGCACATTTCCTGCTGGGTTTAGAATAAATAAAGTGCTGTACATTTTCATGAACTCCTTTGTAGATTTGAAATCAGAATCCTTTGTTTTATCCCCTTAGTGATAATTCTTTGCCATCCAGTCAATAAAAGGAAATGTCTTTACTTAACACACACTTCATACTTTGAAATTAGAGGAAATATTTTCTGCATCAGGGCTCGTGAAAGCAGCAAGGAGGTAAATTTTTACAGCGATCTCAGACTGTGGGTTACATACAACCCTCAGATGTGTCATTTGGCCTGTAGAGTTTAAACATCTGGACATTTCTCATAAGAATCAAGACTTCTGACTTCTTGTGATACACTGAAGATAGAAATGGCCAGGAGTCCTCCATGGCCATGGGGACAGAGGGTATCTACCATTTGCCAGCCTCCTGCTTGGTCTTTATCACTTGGCCTATCTCTTTGCAGTTTTCTTACCTAGCTCCACTAAGGTGGCTTGGAAACCCAAGTTATCAAAATTCCTGTCATAGGTTACCTTCAAGAGTTCTGCCTTAAGGTAGAATTTGGGCCTCAGAAAGCTGATTGGTTTCCATGTTTTATTTTCCAGCTGGGGGAATCCTTAGAAAGACATTAACCTTTTCCAGGAAGCCCGTGAGGGATGCTGACTTCTAGTGGGTTTTCTCCCATATCTAAAAGGGGGCTGCCTTCCAGGCAACACTGCTTACTCAAAATAGTGAAACAAACAGTGAGTAGAAAAGGATAAATGTTTGTGGTCCTGCTCTAGGACACAGTCCTGTAATATCTGACTGATTTTATTTATATGGTCTCTATGCTGCTCCTTTTCTAGTTTGAGGTTAACCTCTATTGAGCTTTTATATGAGCTACACCCTCGTTTAAGTACCTGCATGTATTAACTCACTCAATCCTCCAACCAGTCCCCAACAGGGAGGTGCTGTAATTTCTGTTTTACAGATTTGGAAACAGAGGCACAAAGAATGTTTCAAGCTACTGCTGGAGGCTCCGCAGCTACTTAATACTGGAGTTGGCATGCAAACATATGTCAGGGGACCGCCTGCCTCAGCCTCTCTGGTGCTGAGATTACAGGCATTCGATAATATATCCTGTGCTATTTTGAGAGTTGGACCCAAGTCCATCATTCATTGGAGATTTCAAAAGCAACAGGGCCAGTCTTCAAAGTGGTGAATTCCTGTTGAGAGTCCATGAACTTTCCTTAGACTATTTTTTTTTTTTGGGTCCGGTCATGGGGTTTGAACTCTGGGCCTGGGCACTGTCCCTCAGCTCTTCAGCTCAAGGCTAGCACTCTACCACTTGAGCCACAGCGCCACTTCTGGCTTTTTTTTTTTAAATCTGCTTATGTGGTGCTGAGGAATCGAACCCAGGGCCTCATGCATGCAAGGCAAGCGCTCTACCACTGAGCCACCTTCCCAGTCCCTAGACTATTTTGTAACATCCTTTTAACTGCTTAAAATGATATTCACAGATAATGTGACACAGGATACTCATAATTTTATAAAGGCAATGTAATGTTCTGATAAAATAGGAGGAAAAAAAGGAAGATCACTAATTACACAGTGTGACAGCTTGGGTGGGCTTAATGAAGGACTTAGATGCTAACCTCTTATGCAGAATCAATCATGTGACAACTCCAGTTCCAGACATATGTAGGTTTCTGAGACTGGAAACTCAAACACAGTTGCACTGTTGCTGTAATTGAAAAATTTCAAAGTTTGATTTTCCCCGTTGTTGTATACCTGGAAAATTCAGTGTAAACTAAGGCAAGGCAAAAATTACTTTCTAGATCAAGCAGGAAGTGTTGTTTTTACCATTCCTAGGTAGGACACTGTAAAGTCTCTGTGCAGATGACTTCATTGCTTGTAGAGCTCTATTGTTTTTTTTTTTAATTGTTTATTGTTTTTTTTGGTCGGTCGTGGGGCCTGAACTCTGGGCCTGGGCGCTGTCCCTAAGCTCTTCAGCTCAAGGCGAGCGCTCTACCACTTGAGCTACAGTGCCACTTCCGGTTTTCTGGTGGTTTATTGGAGATAGGAGTCTCACGGTCTCTCCTGCCCGGGCTGGCTTTGAACTGCGATCCTCAGATCTCAGCCTCCTGAGTAGCTAGGATTACAGGCGTGAGCCACCAGCGCCCGGCTTGTAGAGCTCTATTGTAAGAAAGATCCTCACAATGAATGTGGGCTGTACACAGGCCTGCATCTCCCGATCATTCTAACATCAATTTCCTACCCAGTTCCACGATGTCCTCCAGAGGGTAAAACTGACCCTGCTGAGATTCATGCAGGTTGTCAGGTTTCTCTAATGGCTGTACCTTTATTCACCATTCCTTACAAGAACAGCTAGTGTCTGTTAGACTAATGCTAACAGCTCTCAAGGAGAGCTCATGCCTGCAAACTTCCCTGCTTTAGTAGGATGTTCCCATCAATCAAATGAACTGGTTATGCATTGCTTGAGATCAGGGAGATATGGTGTACCTCATTGTAGCATGGCATTTTAATGACACCAAATCAAATCATATTCCTACATACATGGTGTGTCTTTTTTGTTGTTGTTGTTGGAAGCTAAGTCACTGTTAATGCTATGATTTATAATTTTCAGGGAACAAGTCCAGATTGCTAGACATTGTCTCAATCAACGAACCTTAAGACTACTGTTCTTATGTATGGGTCAGGCACTTTGTGAGAGATTGAGAGCACCAAGATGAATGAAATGTGAAGAAGCCACTGGAGTAGCACTATGGCTCAAAGAAGCCGCTGTCCACAATGGGCACATACATGACAACAAATCCTTGGGATGAGTTGTTACAGGTACTTGATTAGAAGGCATGGTACCTTTCCTGTTCTCTGGGGGCTTTACTGTCAGGCAGAGGAAGATGAGTCCATGAACCAGTACTTAGCACACTATGCACTATGGGTAATCATGGTGATGATGTGCATGGGGAATGCAGGATATAAATGGGTGCTAAGTCATCTTGGTGGGGCTGATCTTGGGCCTGACCTGTGAGAGGTAAGTGGGGTTTAAGTGGGGCAGGGGAGGGAAACATTCTGAAACATTCCTCTGGCAGTCCAGCGGAAGCATGAAGGTAGAGAGATAAGTAAGGACTGACTGGAGCTCTGGAACACCAAAGTCATAATACATATAGGAAACGCAAGAAGGAATATTGATAGGCTTTACAGGGGACAGTCATTGGATGGCATCTGAATTTTAGATTAGACAGCAAAGGTCCAATTGGATCACTTGAAATTTCCAAGCACATGCTCACAACAACCTGCCAGAACAATAAAGTGTAGTAGAAACATGTCTGATCGAAGCTTTTGTTGCGTTCACGAAGAATTTGAGCCCCAATACCATTGAAATATGTTTATTGTGAAGAATAGAATTGTTTTGGAAGGTACTTATTCCAGTAACTAAATAGCTGTATTGAGCATCAGGAACTGTAGGGAGGGATACAACCAGTTTTGTAGACAAAGGAATCAAGGCAGAAAAGTTAAACAACAAACCGTAATGGTACAGCCCAAATTGGAATTCAGCTATCTCCTTTGCAGCTCTCTATTCTCTATGACATTAGGTCTCTGGATATATAATACAATGGACAGAAAATCTATCGGGGGAGGGGGAATGGTTAAATGCTTAGCATCATACATACCCTATAGATGCTAGGAAGTTATGATAAGTAGGTTTTTGTATGATGCTAAGGAAACATGAAATGAACCATGAAAAGAAACATTTGGTGATAAATGTGTTTCCTTTAACATATGAGAGACAGAGGGTGATTTAGTATGAATTTTGAGCCATAGTGCTTGGATTCATTTTTAGGCTCTGTCACTAAAAGAAGAATGACTTTGGGCCACTTATTCCAGTTGTTTGTTTTTTCCCCCTCATTTGTAAAATAGGAATTCTTACCAGGTAGACTGAAATCCATAGGGAATTTTCTCTCTAAAATGAGATAACAAAAAAGAAAGGAATGTGACATTTGACATTTGGTTGGGATCAGTTGATTTTTGCATCATTTATTTAGCACATGTTCAGGAAAAATAATAATTTACAGGCATGTTAAACTATGTAGGGAACAAATTGTTAAGGTATTTTATCTGTATATGGCTATCTTAAAATTGCAATTAAACATTCCTTATGATTGAAATTGTTCTGATAGAGAATTCTTTCAATTGTGAGTTCCATAGTTTGTATTTGAAAGTAAGCAAGACTGTTATGAAGTACTTCAGATTTTCCAACTATTTTTATTAGCCTACTTGTGCAATTATCCAGGTTAGGAAGACCTTTCTTCATTACTATGAGGTGACTGTGTAACTGAAATGGAAGTTTGAGGTTAGGGATTCCATAAGTGTACAAAAACAAACTTTAAATGGGGCAGTGTATTGAATTTATGGGGATACATTTCAAGTGTGCTGTTTCCTTATAGTAGTAATAGAAGGTATCTTAAGTAACATGTTCATATAAACCCAGTGTTAGTTTTAAGAGGAAGGACACTGAGTGTGAAAATTTTGTGAATCAGTCAACTTCTTTATAATTGTCTTGCTGTGGTTTGTATGGAGACATGTTGTTCCTGGAAGAGCAGGACAAAGGACACCAGACAGCTGAACACAAGTGGCCCAAAATAAAATCAGAGGCTTCTCATATTGTTCCTCTAGTGCCTGCTTGTAAACGAATCCTCTTCTAGCAATTTACCAAACCACAATTTTATTGATTTCACTTTTAACAAAGGATACTTTTGGGGGGGTGGGGGGGGGCTAGCAATACTGGGTCTGCACTCAGGCAAGCCACTAGTTTGAGCCACATGCTCAGCCTATTGCGCTTTTAGTTTTGGAATAGTCTCATACTGAGGCTTGCTCGGGTCAGCCTGCACCAAGATCTTCCTATTGACACTTCCCACATAGTTGAGATGACAGTGGATAAGACCACACCCAGCTTTTTATTGGTTGAGATGGGGATCTTCTTAACGTTTTTGTCCAGGTTGGTCTTGAAGTTTGATCCTCCCAATTCTGCCTCCTGAGCAAGCAGGATTACAAGTGTGAGGCACCTCACTCAGCTTGGATACTGACTTTTGATAGAGTGAGTACTCTTATTTAGGGTGTTCGCAACTTTTTTTTTTTTACCTACGGCATTGATTTTATTATTTTATGGTTAAACTTCAAATATAGATGGCCAAAATGTGGCCATTTTCTCATGACTGTAAATGGTGGGCCCTAAGAAATTCATCCCACATTAAAGGATGAAACCATAAACTTGCCATTTACTTGCATACTGATTTGGGTATTTTATGGGAAAAATGCTGGATTTTTTCCTGACCAAAGTCAAATATTGTAATTTTCTTTAAAAAGTTATTAATTACCAAAACAGCTCCTCTTATCAAACCTGAGTTAATACATTCCATTTCATGTTTCATGGATTGAAGGGATATTTTGTATATCATTGGAATTATAGATAAAAAATGTTAAAAGGCTATTCAATGGATATATCTTCCCACACTGTAATTACTACAGATTTGAAGGTTTTTTATAAGTCTAAACTAGCCTTCCTTCCTTCCTTCCTTCCTTTCTCCCTCCCTCCCTCCCCCTTCCTCTCTCAGAAGTACTGGGGTTTGAACTCAGGGCCTTGTGTTTGTGCTTGCTAGGTAGGTGCTCTACCACTTGAGACATATCCCTTGTTCTTTTGCTTTAGTTATTTCTTAGGCAGGGTCTCCCCACCCCCTCCCTCAAGGCCAGCCTTGGATTGCAATTCTTCTACTTATGTACCCTATGTGGCTAGGGCCAAAGTTACATGCCATCATTCCTGGCTTGATTAAGCTTGGGTTGGGAGTGGGGTGTCACACTAACCTTTTGTATAGACTGGCCTTGAACTGGAACTAAGCTGGGGTTTATAGGCATGAACCATCAAGCCTGGTCTTAGAGCAATGTAACTTCTAAAACTAGCAATCAAAACGTCAACCGTTTCCTTTATGCCATGGTAAAGTTTATTTTATTTTTAATAACAATTAGAGAACAAAATGTTTAAAATTTGCAATTTAAAACATGCATATTCACAAAAGGCCAATGACATGTAACACTGCATAGAAATGAGTATTCCTTTAGTAACTGTTTATAAAACACAGTGCATGAAACGTCAAGAGAAACACACCTGAGAACTACGACAATCACAGACCTAACACTCGCCATTCATGCAGCTTTACAATTTCTACAGCAGCGTCAGCAGGAATGGTTTTTCACAGAGCTGAAAATTTGTCTCTATCTTTAATGCAAACGGACGCTTTCCACTGCCTTCCAAGGCTGCCTTTTTATTTTTAACCTAATAAACTTGAAAATGTGAAAAATGAAGCTTGAGGCAGTTCAGGAACACAGCATTTACTGCATTTATGGCTTCTATTCTAGAACCATGGGACACAAAAATATCTGCTCACATCTTGGTAAGAGCAGACTTACCTATGGAAAGTTGCTGTTAATTCAAAAGTAAGCAAATATGAAATTTAGCTTTTTTTTCCTACTTAAGAAAGATTTATTTGCTGAGAGGTTTCATGAACTTTACTAAGAAAAGGTTCTTATAGACAAGTTCACCAACAATTCAACTAAACTTGTTCAAATGATTGTTAAAAGAATCTACTTTTAAAACAGAAGTTGTGTGAAGGACCAATTAGTTTGCCCACTGAATGTTAAATTTCAGGTAGACCATGATAAAACTTTATAAGGCAGAAATAAACATCAAGATTTACAGCAGTATCCATGCCTTGGCCTGAATCACTATGTATTAGTTCATGCAAACCATAAACCTATCGAAAACATAGCTGTTCTCATACAGAAAATAAATCAAGATGAAAAATGGAAAACATTTATTTCCTTTCCTTCCAAATTTAGCTTACATTCCAGCTTAATAGCTGTTGAAGGTTAATTAAAAATGCAGCAAAGTTTAAGTTTCACAAGTGACTGCAGTTATTTTAATGTGAGAAAAATCAGTCTATGGTGTCTTTAAGAGGCATTCTGGAAATGTCATCATTTTAAAAAGCAGTTATTAGGCACTAAATTGCAGGGTGTTAACCATAAGTAATTGACAAAAATAATTCCATAAACCTGGTTATTATAATGGGTATGGGCTGGGCATTTTCTTGATAAGTTTTGTAGATGATTGTTTATAAATTAAAGATTTCTTGAAGAAAAGTTTAAGACCAGGAGGAGACTACTGATTATGTAGCTCTTAAGGATACCGTGACAAATAATTTAAAAAGTATGAATACGCAATCTATTGTGCTCCAATTAACATTCTTATTTGGAAAGAACATTTTAAATGACAGTGCGTAAAATGTAAAACAAATTACCACGCAACTTTCATATTGGATCTTTAGGAGGCTGAACTGAAAAATTAAGATATAAAACTTAATGATCAGAATAAATGCTGATTGGTTCCTTTTATTCATTTCCCCACCTGGAAATGAAGAGGAATCACTGGTTCTATAAAAGGACCATATCATTAATGTGATGTAAATGTTTAACCTTACTTAGCAGAACACACATTCACCTGCCTTGATGAGGGAGTTTTCCAGTAAGTTGGAAACACCACCAATACTGTCTCAGAAACAACACTGACTAGAGGTGGACCATGAAAATATACTTATCCCTTTAAGTTTATTCTGTTCCTGAGAAACACTGTTTTCCTGCTAATAAATCCTACCAGATAACATCTTTCTGTGTGCAAGTATACCAATAGATTTTTATACGTATATATAAAATATTTAGAAAGTCCATACAATACTATATCATATTCCAACATTAAAGAAGTAACTGCCAGCTTTTCAATGCTAGAGAAATGAAGATTTTTTCCTACTCTAAGGAGTATTTTCTGAATTGTAAACATTATAAAAGTGACCATGATATTTGCTGGAGCCCCTAAAAGGAAACTGGTAATTGAAGAGTTTCTGTCTTTTTGTTCAAAAATGCATGTTAAAAGTCACTCTGGCCAGGAGCCAGTGGCTCACACCTATAATCCTAGCTACTCAGGAGGCTGAGATCTGAGGGTTATGGTTTAAAGCCAGCCTGGGCAGGAAAAGTCTTTGAGACTCTTATCTCCAATTAACTACTCTCACCCTACAAAAACAAAACAAAACAAAACACATAGCCAGAAATGGAGCTGTGGCTCAGAATGGTAGAGCTTTGATTTCAAAGCTCAGAGACAGTGCCCCGAAGAGTTCAAGCCCCAGGACTGGCACCAAAAAAAAAAAAAAGTCACTCTGACTGGTTGGTTTTCTGAGTCCTGGTAAACCACATATTATCTCTTTCCCCTCCCCCCAATTCAGGAAGGATAAAACTTGGAGCATTTTCCTCTCATTTCTATAAAGTCACTGTAATTACAGTGCTACATTTTCCAAGTGGTGACTCCCTTACCCTATTCCACATATCCCAACCCAAGAAGCAAAGAGATTATTAACTCAATGTTGATAATTCAGAAATATAGCTCCATGGAATACAATGGCATAAACAGTACATTTCAGATCACAATTAACCACAAATAGTTTCATGTGGAACAGTATCATAAAAAGGATTCATGTTTCAAGATGAAAATCTAACTTAAAATTTTTATGTTCTAGCCAGAAATTTCAGTTCTATTTTATTCGTACCATTCTGTTATTAAAATGCTGGAGGAGGGTGCCCCTGGTGTAATGGATGGGAGGCTTTTCTCTGGAGGAATGCACTGTATTCTTTCTAAATTTTGGGGTCTGACTTCACCTATCACCCTTGAGAAGCTCAGGATAAGCAAGACTCTGGAGATCTATTTAGTAAAAGGAAAGACTATGACTTTTAGGATTTTGAAGACAATTTGAGACTGCATGTCTGTAGTTTTGCTAGATGTTCTGATTCATGATTCTCTTAATCTGGAGCCTGATGGGAAGGATCTGAGAAGTGAAGTATTAAACTCTTTCTTCCCTTTTGGTTAGAAATATGCACATGTGTCACAACCTCATTTCTCAAAAATGTAGCATACTGGCAACTAGCTACAAATACAGAGAAGGAAAAGATACGTATTCTGTTTTTAAATTGAGAAGAAAGAAAATAATGTGCAATGATGAAACTCAGAGGACAATTTTAACAATCATCTCTCTTCTCAATTCTCTATACTTTTAAGTAAAGAGACCAATTTAAAGTCGATAATTCAAAAATTGGACTATGTGACGAAGAAGGCATACCCAGTCATATTCCATCCCAATCACATGTTATACAAGAGTCTTATCTAACCTATTTTGCTGGTAAGTCCACTTAAAGGCAAACAGGCTTTTGAATAGAAGGCAAAAAAGTCTGCTTCAATCTCTGAAGTGTATCTGAAAACTAGAATTCCTTATTTAACACTTTAAATGAAAGTATTATTTTAAAAATAGTGTAGAAAACTGGTTGTATTTTTTTTAAACAGCCCCTTCGCCATTTCTTGTTGGTAGCAAAATAGGCATTTTCGGGTGAGGTCATGGAAATGTTGAAAAGAATTAAACTGAATGTACCTTGTAAAACATACTAACAAGCCCTATTCTGATGAAAAATGTTCTTTGATTATAAAGTTACAAGACTTAGTAAAGTAGATATTTTTGAAAGGTGGGGCGGGAGGGGGGAGGCCCTACTTATTTGTCTCAATAAATAGAACATAACTAATTATGGGGATTTGCTGGAGCATCGAGCTGTGAATTAATTTCCAGTATGAAGTACATGGACTGTCACCATACACCGAGTGCACAACATATTAGTCGAGAACCCAAACACCTTACAATAGCTGAGCCTATGTACATTACAAAAGCCCATGCATTTATCTGATGTGTTATTCCACACACTGAAACAGAAGCTTTGGAAATCTCACATAAACATGGAAGCATAATTTTCTTAAGAGGGAAAACTTGTAGACAAAATGACATCACTTAATTTATCGCCGAAGCTGAATTTTTTAGAAAAATCTGAAAGATGATCCAAGTTTATCAGAAATGACCAAGACACAAATACAAGTTCAAAAAAAAAATCAGTGTTATAGCACTAACTCACATTGACACCTGCGTCCTCTAACAAGAACAAATAAACAAGACAAATAATAAAGAAGTACTCGTAAGGCTTGAAAGGTGCCACATCACAAATTTTAGTAGCAAATGCCTGGAAAGAATTCATTTTTTGCAAATCACTCTCACATTTGAAAAGTCAAGCATGCAGATCTCATAGCAGCACTGGCGTCAACTTTCTCTTAAATTTCTGGGCAAATGACTACTGATGAGAAATCCACTTACTGAACTTCTTTGGCAAACATATAGCAAGACAATTTTTGACACAAACATGTATTAATGCCTTGTTTAGAAATGTTCAGTAATGTGAGTCAGTTCCTTAAGAAAGCTGGTTTGTTTCAGCATGACCTGAAAGCGAAGTCTGGATATCAAGAGTCCATTTAACTTAATACCATTTTAGAATTTTTTTTTAAGGATGGTTGCCTTGTGGTATCACCAAGAAATTAAGTTACAGATCCAGAGCCATGGCTTGAGAGCACTGACCTGTCCTCAGCCGGAGAGAACACTGGGCAAAGTACCAAGGTCATTTTCAATTTCTGTTCACACACCTTAGCAAACACTTAAAAAAAATCTGAGAGAGATGGTGTTACAGTAGTTGCACAGTGCTCATGTCCATGGTGTACATGAATCTGAAGGTCCATCCATGAGATGAGCTCAGATCCACCTTTGCTCTCCGGGGACCAGAGTAGAACTGGTCAGCAGATTGTGGTGATGACCTCAGCTTGTGGGAGCTCTCCTTAGAGACGCAGTAGGGCCTGCTTCTCAGCCCTTAACCCATCACCACTCATCAGGCCTCTGTTTCGTGGTATCATAGGCTCTAATCACCTCAGACTGTGAAACAATTCCATTTTCATCTTGCGAGAAAGCATATCCGTCTGTAAGTTAAGGACGAAACACAAGTTATCATCAGGAATTGGCTAGAAATCACTGTTATTTGTATTCATTGTCTAACTTGGGGAACTGATGCATCCTTGTTACCTTCAAAAGCACGAAACACTGATTTGTTGTAAACATCTCAGCAGCAAAATGGAGAGTGGGAAGACATACTGGTTTGCATTCTATGAGGCTTGCTTCGCAACAGAGCTAAGCAGAGGTCTCAAAGCCTGTTTAATCCTCTGCTCTGTATCTCAAGCCTACTGTCCTAACTTTTGTTTCATTACTGCTGGAAGATGTCAGGGTATGTAGTCAAGTGCATGCCTATAGGTTTTTATAGGTCAGGTGGATGAGAGAGAGATGGAAAAAAATGGTGGATGGGTGAGTAGATGGATTGGTTAATTAATCCAATCCAAACATATTGTGCTCCATAAATATATACAAGCATTTGTCAATTAAAAAATCATCAAGGAAGAGGAAGAGGGCACAGATAACTGCTCATGGTAAAAAACTGGTCGGCTTCTTCTGGTGACATTCTCCTTAGTTTCTGGCATCAAAAAATAAACTCACTGATTTCCTATGTGATTGGAGGGGAGAGAGAAATAAAGAATGATCCCTAAGGGGATCCTTAGAAAGGGCCTCTTGAAGTATAATTAAACACGAATATACACATACATATATAAATAGAAATAAATTACATGTAGGAACAACATGAAACAAAAGATATATTACTAACACAAACAGATTTGCTACAGGGCTTTATATATTATATTCTCTTTTAGATCCTTGAAATGTTAAGAGGTCAAGATATCTAATAATTTCTTACAACTCTAAATATTCATAAATATTTTTGAAGGGAAAACTGTATATTTCCTGTGTTGTATGAAAGTTGAAAAGGTTCTTGCAAAGTTATCTGAGTAGAAAAGATAATAAGGCAGAGGCAGCTTTAAGAGCGAAGATTTATCTTGCTGGTTCTTTTTAAGATTTAAGGAAGCAAGGAATGTGGAAATATTATTGTCTTTCTCTAAAGGAAAAAAAGCAAGATTTTGAAATGCTCTAAAAAACGTGAGATGGTTGTGGGTCATGGATTTTCTAACCATGCATTTGTCGGTTAAATAATACAATGCAGATATTTACTACTTGTGTTTGGAGTTCATTTTAAAATAGCTAACTAGCCTTCAAGTCAAAGTACTGCTGTGATAAATGCCACAATCCAGTAGTGGCCGAGAAATTGTTTAAAATAAGCTCAAGTACTCACGGAGCAGGTTTTGTTGCAAGGATTCTGATCGGTACAAGTTCACATGGTTCTTCTTAAAGACATTCTTGAGCAACTGTGCCCTCTCCGTGAGGCTGTGGAAGAGGTGCAACAGCGTGAAACGAATGATCAACTCAGTGCTGCCCGCTTAAGTGCCCTCAGGAGCGCCAAGGAGAATGATACTTAAACAAAAGCCTGCATGAGCATTCTGCAGCCTCAGGACTCTTTGCACTCCACTTTCTCAGATGGCAAAAGGGATCTCAAGACTTTAGTCACACATTTTTAGGCCATTTTCCCCATGGCTAAGGAAGAGTTCTGTCCCAAATAATAATCCAGGATAAGATTTCCTCAATCCTTTCCCCATCCCATGATATCTATGTAGTTAAACGGAAATAGAACCTATACAAAACAATTAATTATTCACTACTTAATAATGAAAAATGACCAGATAGTATTATTAGCTCCTATGACCTAGGTTAACTCTGTGTGTGTGTGCGTGAGTGTGTGTACATGTATGTGTGTAAAATTATCTTGCCATTTTTCAGTTAAAAATACTATAGCTATTATTACATCTTTTACACACTTGACACATATTTTGGTACAACCTACTTATTAGTTACATGAAAGAAATCCTCAAAGTTCTAGAAAGAACACATTAAAAAATAAACTTCTGAGGGCACTGCATTGCTGCTGTAAGGTGGTTTAAAGTGTGCCTTCATTTCATTTTCAAATAAAGTGTTTTCTGAAAATAATCACAATAGGTAAAGTAACCAGGGAGAATATTGATTTTTTCCACATATGTTTTTAGGATGATCTTCATAGTGACAAATCCACATAATGAAATATGCAAGTTCTAAAAATTACATGGGGAGAGATCTTCACGTTGCCATCCTTGGCAGACAGAATGGTGCCCCTTCCTCTTACAGTGGGAATCAAAGATTGGTTGAATAGGCAAATTTGAGCAATTCTGAAACACGCTTATAAACTTCTTCAATCTTCCCAATCATATCATTTTTTGTCTGGCTGGCTTATTAAACTTTGCTTTGATTCCAAAGAATGTAATAAGGATAAGGAACAAAACAAGCCTTCTACATGCTTTGTAGCAAATGTTTATATAATTTTCTTTTAATAACCAAAACGGACTCAGTCAATTTTATTTTTCAACTACAAAAGCTTTAGTTAAGTTGCTGAAAGTGATGTTCACTCTGTATCTTGCCAATATTTCTGCAAAGATTATTTCTGAAATGGAATATTTATTATATACAAAAAGATCTCCCAAAAAGGAAGCCACCATGTAAATGAGTCACACATTTAGGCAAAAACCAAAGGAAAAATATTTAGAAATGCTGACATTTGCAGTAATCTTCCACATCTATTTCTTCTAAGTCTAGGAATGTTAACTAGTACTTATTAGATGTATTTTATTGTCACTGGGAATTAGCTGCACTGAAACAAGAATCTAATTAATCTAAAACTCCTGTGGTTGTGGAATTAGATGTAAAACTTGTTTTGGACATTGACTTAAACAGATATAAAGATGAAAAAGGGCCATTTTAACCAAGTCACTTTTCTCACCCTCCTATTTAAATGATCTAACATGACAGACGGGGGGACCCCAAGGAACACTAAAATGTGGAACCGCTTTGAGGAAGTCAGACAGTTTCATCAGCAGGTGGTCTGATTTTCTTAGCAGAGCAAAGAACAGGGTGCCTGGAAGTGTCTGGTGTTTAAAGTCTGAGTAAAGGCTGGAGAATGGCAATGCATCATTATGCCAGCGTCCTCTTCCCAAATACATTTTCCAGGTTTCAGGTTAGCCTTCCTAAATAAATACTCTATTATTCTAACACTCAAATGTGAGAAGGCAGAGGAGAAGTATATCTTTCATATTATGGCAACTGAAATGCATAAAAGGATGTATTTTTTTCCCCCCACAGCAGTTAGAAAGTCTCTTTCTGGGGAAAACAGTACATTCCTCAGGAAAGATATGGGCTTTGGAGTCTTTGGTTCAATTATGAGTTTGCTCCTTATTAGTTGGCCACTGTAGGAGGGAGACAATACGGAACTCTCAGGCTGACTGCGAGGGTTTAGCGACTTGACAGCGCAGTGATTGACAATTAGGAAGTACTCAACAAATGCTGGGCACTCCCACTCAGTGCCCCGGATCCCAGGGAATCTATTATAAAAAGCAACTAGCACAGATCACCACAAAAGGTACTTTGTGAGGATCATTTCTGATGCCTTGCTTTTCAGCTGTAGCTCAGTGCTGCCATGAGCTTAGCTTTTCCAACGTTCTCATTTCACCTCTTTACTAAGCCAAAAAAGACTAGGTTTGTTGTTGTTTTTGTCATTTTGTTTTTTCTTAGTGGCTTTGAGCTTCTTGCTTTAGAAGCAAGTCCTTGTGAGGAACATTCTCTTTCAGAATGAAGAAGTAACGGTGAGCTGTTTTGTACTTTCTATCCATGTCATACCTTGAGGAAATGATCTACCATTTAAAAGTTTATACAATTCTTTGTCATCCATGTTTATAGGGAGTGCTGTGACCATCAGTATATGGAATATACTGATAACATTTATCTTAGTGTTAAATATTCAGTATTTATTGGGCAGCTTTGGCAATATGAGGGAAAAAAAGGGAAAAGGCTAAGATACCTTCTCACTCCAACCACATCTATTCACAATTGTCTGCCAGTAGTTTTGCTCGTTCTCATATAGTCTTTCATTTACATACCATGTAATGCACATTCCGAGTTTGTTTAATGCAATTATACAGAAACTACCACTTAAGTATTGCTCTTTTATGTCCAAACTCACGGAAATGTTGCAACTTAGGTATTCTATAAGAGGTGAGTGGAAAGATATAATCTTGAAGTATAATATTTCATTTAGAAACATGAAGACAAAGTTAATACAAACCTATGTACAGTCACAGAATGTGCTGTGTGTATAGTCTTAAGGTAATTCAAGTGATCTTTGAAAGCAGTAAGCTTGAATTTATTTATATATTGGGCTGGCAAGCTACTTTGGATGACTCATTAAAATGGATCTCTTGAAAGTAAGTCAGAATTCATTTCTGGATGGTTCACTGCATAGCATGGGGGAGTTCTCCTTTGTTCTGTAGCAAGGGTGACAGGAGAATGAACAACGACATCAAGCTAACCTTCACACTGTAAGGGATAACATTTCACCATTTTGGGCCTTTTCCTTCCAAATGATGGGAAGGATTATCATCAAAATGATGATAGACGAAGGAACTCTTGATCTAGCACTGTGTTCAACATTTATCCAAGTAGACTGGATAGAAAAATCCAGAGAGAAAGTAAAGAAATATAATTTCTGCTAGCTCAGAGGCAATGTTCAAGTTGCTTTCCATGACTATAAAGAATACTGATAAAAAGAGAGAAGAGAGAGAGAGAGAAAGAGAGAGAGAGAGACTATACAACACTATCACCACTCACCATGTACAATTACCTAACTCCATATTCCCATATTCCTCTCTCCTTCTATGCTGATACTATCTGTCCATTAATAGTTATAGAAAAGACAGTGAGGATGGACCTGAAGAGCTATCCTTCTCACTAATGTTGATAGCGAGAAACAAAAATTATGAGTCTCTGTGTCATATTTGCCTGTATGTCTATAAGATACTCTATTATCACACACACTCCAGTGATAACTCCTAAACAGTGGTCCTGTCTCTAATGCACCCAGTGGGTCCAGCATCTCTAATTAGAAACCTTTGGTTTTGAATTCCTGATCTGTGTTTGTTTTATAAATGGTAAAATGTTATATGCAAATGGCAGCTGTAATACTTATGTGGGCTCTGGGATGCCCATATTAAAAAAAATTCTTATGTCTCCTAGAAAATGTATAGATCTTTGTATTAGAGAGAATAAATACTATTAAAGTTGTATGTGTGTATTTCTCTATGACAATGATTCAGGTTTTCCCAGTAAATGTTGGCCCCAAACATGTAGAACACAAAAGCTGGAATGCAGAATTGGGGGTGAGGGGGGAGGGCTTTAGGCCTTGTGAAATTTTCTGGTGACTAGTGCTGGAGTCTGTCCACATAATGGTTACACAGAAGTACAAAGCTTCATAACTGAGGAGTAATTTGTTTCCACTGTAAACAAGAAGCCAAGTTCACACAGCCCACCAGAAGTAAGGCTTGGGCTAGTCTTCCAATATTTTAACTTCATCATGGCTCAAAGGCTCTCTACTTAGGTTGATAAAATATACTTTCTCCCCTAAAATTTAATGGGATATATTCAATTTGGGTGTTATGGTATGAGATGTACTAATTCTACTAAAAATGACCAGTTACTGTAACAAAAATGTTTCGATTTTTAAAAATGGAAAAGAGGAGAAATTACTGCAATTGTTTACTTTTATATAAACTTCAACTTACTGTTTCTTTCACACATCTGTATTGTATACATAATTCAAGTTCACACTAGTGTTTAGGGATGATGATGTGCAGCTTACAGATTCCTTGAGAATAACATTGTTCTACAACACTGTAGGCAATTTCTGCTTTATGTATGGCCTACTTTGGTAAGCATAATTCCATTTTTGTGTATCAGATTTTGATTTTACTCCCCAGATGCCAATAATTGATTTTCTACTCACCACTCAATCATCCTTTCACCCCTCCAATTATTCCTGTTTATTCTCTTGATCACTCATTCATCCACTCAACAAATGTTTACCCAGTGGTGCTAAGTTCCTGGAGCTGAGCTATGCATTTGATGGGGACTCTAAGCCGTTTCTTTCAAGGAGCTCAACCCAAAAGGGGAAACAAATGCACACAGGGTAAGTAAATGTTGCATTATACAGCATCCAATAAATTCAATAGCACATGTTTTAAAAAGGACAGATGGCATGCTGGAAAATAATTAACTTTATGTGTGAAAAGTTGACAAAACTACATCTGAACTGGGTTTTAAAAGCTAGGAAGGAGACTGTAAGATGGATGTTAGCCTGCAGACAAGGGGTTAGCGTACGCTAAGAATGAAAGGCATCGTGTTTTAGCACTCAAAGATATGAGAGAGGACTAGACTATATAGAAATCTCAATATCTCTCCCTCCTGAAAATGTAGATAACACATGTTAACTTTTTTCTCTTACTCCCCAAGAATCCTAAAAAATAATTCAGACAGTAAAATCAACCTGATAATTCCTTAAGAGCCTTAGAATGGGATTAGTTTAATATGACGACTTAAACGTCATTGCTTTTATTATCTTTCTTATTTGCCAAATCCTTCCCCTCCGTTCTTCCAGCCGCCCCCCTGCAGGAAGATGCCATGTTTAAGCTGATTTGCAACTTTCTGGTCACCAATGGGAAGCAGCCACGCCATGAGGTCTGTGCAGGCCCCTGGGTTCCTGTGTGTGATAATCAGCTAGCTCATTCCTACATAGCGATTTTAAGCAAAAGAGCTGGGCAGCAGGAAGGAATGATAACTAATTTACTTTCTTGGGAGAAGTTGGTGGGCAGTTATGGTAGAATCTTTTTCTTTCCTCTTTAGACTCACAGATTTATTTAGGGAAGGGGGTCGTGCATATCATCCTCTCACTGAATCTTTGGAATCTGGTGGCCAGCATGTCAGTCCCCAGCCTGACTGAATTGTAAGTCATTGCTACACTCTATACACACCAAGCAGACTGAACATCATGGCAAGGGACTCAAAGTAAGTTTTAGTAGCATACTAATGAAGCTGAGAAATTTACCTGGAAGGGTAGGAATAGTAGTATCAGTAGCTTTTCCCAAATAGTTCCGACTACATGGCTTTACTCATAGGTTTGTAAGCTAGAACTCTCAACCCTTTTTCACAGTGGGGGTGGGGCAAACAGTAACAGAGGAACTGCTGGTGCCAGGCCACACAGAACAGGTGCTTCTGCAAGGTGGATCAGACTTATCTATGGACAGGGACACCAACGTGTCTCTCAGGTGATATAATAGCAAGGTTCTGGGGGGGGGCACTTGATGCTTGAAAAGTCAGCAGAGGCAAGATTCATGCTATAGAGCAAGATTCAAGTGTTTAGGTACAAAGTTAGCAGGGACTGAAGGCTGGGCTCCCTCACTGATTGGCTTTAGGAACTTAAGCCTCTCCAAACACAGTATCCTAATCTGAAAAAAAATAATAGGGATGATGCTCCTAAATTTCACTTATTGGTAATGAGACAGCCTAAGCAAACTGCAGGTGAAAGTGCCTGGCAGGTACTGAGTGCTCACCAATAGCCAGGTTTCTTTGGCTTAAGTGGGGAGTGAGAGGTAGAGGTCAAGGTCTCAGTGTTACCCCTCTTCCATTGGGTCACACAGTATCATGATGAAGATTTCATACACCAGAACAAAATATTTCTTATGGCTTAGACAACACCATAGCTCAGCTCAGAAGGATGAGAGGAAAACAAAAAGACACATTTCTAGGAGTATCTGTATAATTGTATTTTATTATAGATTGCTTTAAACTAATTTTCATTTTCAGTATTTCTTTCTGAATTGAGTTAATGCAATTGGACTTCTAACGTTCCTCTTTTAAGGGGAGGACAGTGGTGAGGAAGAGAACGTGGAAGGCATATCTTCTATATCCAAGTCAGGTTCTATACCATAATGAGCCATGAGTGCAATTACAGGGCAGTTTGTCCGATGCCAAACTATGAATTGGCTTGCATAGCTATTGACACAGTGTCAAATTAAAAGCTTTCTTTCCTTTGCATTTCAATGACACAATATTTGTAACTATCATTTATTTAACGATCACTGAATACTTGGTTCAGGCTTTCTGTAGTATTTTACCCATGTCTCACCACTACTTTAGGCTGACTTGATGATTCCCATTTTATTGATGAGGAAACTAAGGCCCTTGGGTAAGGCCACACCAAGCTTAGCAAGTAGACAGATTTGAATGAAATATGCAGCTTTCTGATGCCTGTATCTGTGAGCAACACCACCATAAATACAAGTTTTTCTTGCTTGCTTACACCCACTAGGAAAATGTAAAAGAATACACTCCATGCCTCGCTTACCTTTTCCCAAGTACGACTGCTCCAGGGTCTTCAGATTTTGCCTCAAGCTCCTGAACTTCATCTACTAATGTTTTAAAAGCAGTCCTCTTGATGCTGGGGGGTGGGAGGGAAAGAAAGAGTTTGCATGGAAATATTCCTATGAAGACTTTACAAAACATCTTTTCGTTTTAAAAAAATTATAGATGTCTGCTTTATTGACAAGTACCTATTATTGATAAGTACAAGAGTCCAAAGTAATTTTCAAATGGAATCGAAAAAAAGTATAATGGTTTTATGCATTATTCTAATTATACGAAAAATACTCTTAAGCAATTAGAATGATAGCATTTAATCTCGTAGTTATTCCAATAATCATGCAATTAACTTCAATGATGACTTCTCTGTGGAAAGAGATAGCATTTTGAAATTTACAGCTCTTGAGCAAAATCTGTGACTTTTTGTTCCTTCATTTCTGTATTTTATGTATGCTTACAATCAGGAAAAGCAAACAATTTCTTTTCAGAGTTATTAAAAATACATTTGGAAACAGAAGTTTTTTTTTCTTCCACCTTGTACAGAGTTACAGACTGGTTTGTAAAACATGCTCATTTTCTTAATCTTTCAAATTTACTTTTCTAGATTCAGAAGCATGCCCTTTTCAGTTATTTAAAATTGATAAATACTTCGGGTTCCTATTTTGCAAGCTTTGCATGCCTGATTTGTGTTACTAGGCAAACCTGAAAGTTAAAATGCCTTTCCATTTTTGTGTCCATAACCAAGGATTACACACTTACACTTTGTAGGCTACATCCAGGAGCAAGGACGCCACAGGGATGAAGAACAAGCCCATCCAGAAGACTCCGGAGCTGAACAACATGGCTGCCTGTGCAAACCACCAGGAATGACAGGTTAAAAACGGAGAAAAAACATTATTCTTCGTGGTTAGTTTTTAATAGGACTTCAGTAAAATAATTTTAAGGGCTAGCATTCTAAGAAGGAAGATACATAATAATCCTAAATTCAAACTTGTATAAGATTTGAAATTAAAAGTCAAATGTGTTAAAAGATATTTATTGGTTTTTTTTTGCCCTCAAGTAGCTAATATGACAAAATTTGTATCATGTACCAAATCTTTTCATGTATGGAATTTTATTGTCACGTTCAACACATGAAGTGGGAAACCTTGATCTTCTTATGTAACTTAGAATATCACTATCAATCTTTTTGAGGAAACAAAATATACTCTGGTTTAAATTATAGTAACATGGAATATAAAATAAATCCCAGTTAGAAACTGAGCTTACTAATTCTGGCAAATATAAATTAGTTTTTATTTTTGTAATACTGCAGGAAATTAAGAAATCATCTAGATAAATACTGATGATGATATAATCAAACTCAATGAATGAAAACAATTTGATTATTTTTTGCAATTGGGTAGTAACAACCTTAATTTTGGTTCAATAATTATAAAATGTCAAATCAAGAATCTTATATACAAACAAAAATAAGTGTATTTATGACAACTTTCATAATTCTTATAATTCCTCATAATTCTTATAATTAAGTCTCAAATTGCTATATCAGAACCTTTAGGGTTATGAAATCACAAATGTGATTTTAAAAGTTGTGTTAGCTGTCTATAATTATAATAAAATATTTGTAATAGATTAGATCATACAGAATTTGAAATGAAACAAAATAGTTAGATTTTTCTTGAGTCTATGTGTCTATAAAGAACAAATCTTCAGGGCTTAATTCCATAAATGCACTGTTATAATTTCATTAAAAAGTAGACAATACATGTACATATATTTTATAATAGATCACACAGAATTTTTAAAATGAGAATTGAAGGATGAACTCAGGAATTACAAATGATACAGCATTCTTCTAGACAGCTTCATAATTATGCACAGTCCTAAGAACCTAATCCTCACTAAACAGAAAATAACTAGTTTTAAATTATGTTTTCGATTACCTATTCATTTTGATTCACCAATGAGGACAGGAACTATTTAAAAATTTTCCCACTTGAACATGGGCTCACTGGTCTGCAAAGGCATTTAGTGAGATAGAACTTAATAGCCCTGAACATAGTTAAAATAAAAAAAAATTGCTAGTATAAAAAATTTCAACAAATAAAAATTTAACATAGGAGGTTCCAAGAAATAGCCCTCACATCTGTGACACCAACATGATGAAAAACTCACATAAAAGTCACTTTAATTAATAAGGCAAACATGATCTTGGTCATGCTTGCTGATGTCCTTAAGAGTGAAAACCAACAGTAACTATGAACCAAGAAATATCTGTTAAGCCCAGTGGGTTTTGTTTAGAGTGAAGGGCACTTTCTAGTAAGGTATAGCTGTGATAGAGCCACTTTTCATTTCCCTTCCAGGGGGGAAAAGGTATGATACGATTTTAAGTTTTGTAGCAGAAAATGCCTGTTTTCCTTGGCTTACTTTTAATATTTTAATGTTGGTGGAGGGGATAAGAGAAGAAAGATTTATTCTGGCCTTCACCACCTTGAGTTAAATGTAGGCTGGGGGAAAAGGCAAACGGAGAGACTGAAGGCTGCTAATTCTGACCATTGTGATGCTAACGATGATGGCGGGGGCAACTAGTACCCACCATTCAGTCCACTTGCCTTTGGCTTTACAAATGCACAACGTGAATTGAGGGGAAAGAAGTTTTTCGGCTTCATATCTGAAAGCCTGTCAGATTTTGTTTTTCTTTTGCAGAGTTAATCCAAACCTAAAAGATTTAAAGCCGACATTCGCATTTAAGACAGAGTCTCTTTGTGTTTTTTGGATGAAGAGGGGGAAAAAAATAAAATCCCACAGAGATATTTCCTTCCTTTCTGTAGAAGAAAGGTCCCCTGGCTCTACAGAAATATCTCCCCACTTGCAGGCCAGGTCAGCTGGGAAAAGACGGGTGTTCTGCAGACAATGGTGGTAACAGGAGCAGCCTGTGTGAGGAGGTGGGCAGAAGCTCCCTCCAAGAGGGGTTTGTGCGTTGTCCTGGACGTGGGAGATTGGTGGGCAGTGCCAAGTGCCGCCCCCCTCCTCCTCCAGGCTCTGTGAAATCAAATGGAATCTGCCACAAAAGTGGCTCCCAGGGTGGAGTTGGGAGGGGGTGCTTTGGAAGGGATCAGCCAAGGCAGCTGGGGGGGGGCCGCTGTAAAGTTGGGAAAGTGAAGGGCCTGAGTCCTTCTTGGGGGAACAAGAGACCTCTTGTCTTTACAGAGGACACTGGCTCCCAATCAGACCGAGAGGGCTTCAAAATAAACCAGCGCTAACTAAATATGCAATCTCAAAGACGTCCTGAAATTTCCATGTGAACTTGCAGAGAAAAAGGGTTTGCAAAAATATGAGTTTCTTGTGCGCACAACCAAGCCAAGGGGTATGATCAGAAAAGAAGGGCCTCACTTCGGGCCCACAGCGAGGTTACCCTTGGCCTTGAAGAGCATGTGTCACTTTCTGCATGCCCAAGGTCAGCCTTACAGAAAAAAAACAAAAAACAAAAAAGAAAAAAAGAGAATGGCCAACTGTCCCCAAACATTTAGCAACACATTTCTTGTCTATCTCGACTTGGACATTAGACATTAGAGTCTGCAGTCTCTTCCTTTCAGATAATGTGCAGATACCTTCTATAATGGGGAGCCCTTTGAAGAACCCTCAGTCTATACTAGGGAACGCAAATAGAGCAGGTCAGGTGATAAACAGCCCTGAAATGGTTCAGCCTATGTTCAACCCAGCTACCAAGATTCAGGAAAGAAACTTCTTAGTCTCAGATTCCTCAGCTATAAGTAACTTGTAAGAATAAATCATAATAATGGGCTATGGAAATTATTAACACTGATTATTAAGGAATTTCCCATTCTTCATTGTCATTTTAATTACCTCTTGTTCTACCGAGCCATCTGCCCCATGAACTTTACGGAAGGAATTAAAAAAAATCACATTATCAAACTAAGTTTGAATCAGTTTATAGATTTCTACGTGGTAGCTTTTTATCATAATCATATCACAATATAGGTGTATTTTATTGGATATGTTGAAGGGTGATGCTGAAATATATGTCAAAGGAGCTGATCAGTAATGAAGTACCACTTATCTCAACTTTTCCTAGCTTAGGGAATGGAGACAAATTATGTTTTCATATCAACTACTATATATATATATTAACCTGGGAAGGGAAATTATTCATAGGACAGTGCCACAAAATTTGGCTATTTATATACTTTTGTGGAGGGGTGTTCAGTAAAGAGAGAGTAGTATAAATTCCTAACAACTCTCCCTCCTCCCCTTCCCCCAAGAAGTAGGAAAGGGTATAGCTGAGCATCTACAGGGAATACTTGCCTAGCTTTCACAAGGCTCTGGGCTGATCCCTAACAGTACAATAAAAGCAACACAAACACACACACAACAATCAAGGAGGATTTAGTTTGTGGTATCTAGAAAATGCTTAATACAATAGCTTTTAAGCAAAGAAAACAAGGGAAGGGGTGACACTGTTCACAAAGTAATGCACTCATTACCTCACTTATGTAGCTGTACTCCCTCTGTACCTCACCTTTACAATAATTTTTTTTTAAAAAACAGCAAAAAAGGAGAAACAAAACAAAACCTCCCTAAAAACTACAAAAGATCTGATTCATAAAAATGTAGAGTTTCTACATATATGTCTAAGGAGAATGTAATTTAAAAAGTCAGTGATAAACAAGAAAGTTGGAGAATGAACCTTACAAAAACATGCAATTCTATATTAATATTTGGTCATAGAAGTAGTTCATTTGTCTTGCTAAGAATGTATGAGATCCTGAGAGATAGGCAGGGGACCCAAAGGAATGTTCAGGAAGCAGCTACAAGTAACCAGTAACATTATGACTCTCTGTAGTCATAAACTCTCTACCAAATTAGCTCAGATTAAAAAAAAAATCACCATTACCATGTGTGAGTGTGTGAGTGTGTGTCTAACGGATACTTTTCACAATTTATGTTTCCACCAGGAATGTATTAGCCTTTGGGAAAGTCTCAAAGACACACACATTCATTCCTGTTAATTAGACAATCCTATTTCTGAACTATGTGTTAAAATTTAGGCCACACTTTTGCTTCTAGGCTAGTTTCTCATGAAACTGTTCCATGACCACTTGTTTTGAAAATACTCTGCCCACTTCAAGGCTCCTGGCCTGAGGTTTAGTAAAGAGCAGGCAAGCCATGGTGGCTGCCTCTTGAACACTCTCTCTCTCTCTTTCACACACACACACACACACACACACACGATATATATATATATATATATCACATATATTTGTATACATATTTGTATTAATTCAAGGCTTCTCAGACACACTGCTTGATTATGGAACACTCTCCCATCGGTACTGCTTCCGGGATTAGCTTTGGGAAATGTAAAACCTTAACCAGTACACTGTATGGCTGGTTGAGTGAATGCATTGTCCGTACAAGAGAATATTATCCAAGCTGTTCAAGATGCTGCCCATGGGTTACTTGGAAGGGTCTGGCCCAAACTCTGGTGTTCTGGCAGGAGTCTGTTACAGTATATATAACTCCTGTCTCCAAAAAAGGTGGATGTTTTCCAGACTGATCTTACTACACAATGGGAGCTACCACTGTGTTGGCATTTGTCATCCATTTTATTTAATTTTTTAAAAAATTATTTTCTTTTTGAATTAGCATCCAGTAATAATACAAGAAGGTCTCATTATGATGAACCTTTGTGTATGTACAGTGTGCAATATATTCCTGCTCCTGCTCTTCCTTCTCTTGCCTTTCTTCAGTGTTTGGTGCACTTTGTTATAATGCATATTAATGCATTGTACTTTGATCCTCTTCACCCCTTACTATTCCTTCC